TCCTTCACATATAACAGCTTGGCGGTGTGTCCAGCTTGCCGGTGTTCAGAATCAAGTTAAAGTCACACGCACGCACACATACATTCCGAAGACATAACCAGGTTTCCCTACATACAGCTATCCTGGAGAATGGTGGTTCATGTTAAAGCTGAAAGGCCTGTCTCTGGCGTCCTGCATTTAAGGCTTCACATCAGCACATTCTCTGTCCAGATTTAGATGGAAGGTAACCCGTGTCCTGACACCCTCCTGTCAGGAAACGCTGGGGAAGGCAGGCATCCCCCAACAATGGCCCAGTGGCTCCCCAGATTCAGGCACCCCCATCAGGGGGGGACTTGCACACGTCTAGGGGAAAGGAGACCACTTGGTCTTCCTAAAAGAAGGACATTGAGGCTACATTATGAGCAGAAAAGAAAGACGAAGGATGGAGGCATTCCCCTGGACTGGATTTGAATGTCTATTACTAATTTAAGGGTGGCCCTTCCAAGAGACAGGCTCCTTTAAGACTTCTTTGAGGATTGATCCCCATCGTCCTTCGGTTAGGGATCCCTCTAGGAAACGTCTCCAGCACTTCTAGCAGGCTCTGGTTCAGTCTTGGGACATTGGGAACCCCCTCATTTTGAAGAGAGGCCAGACGTGAGTGCTCCAACACTGGAAGTTTTTAAGAAGAGATTGTTTGTCTGAAATGGTCTAGGGCAGGGGTAGGCAACCGTGGCTCTTTGATGACTGGTGGACTTCAACTCCCAGAATTCCTGAGCCAGCCGTGCTGAGGGGAAAGGGAGAGGTTTCCAAGCTGAGCCATGCTGGCTCAGGAATTCTGGGAGTTGAAGTCTACCAGTCATGAGGGGGCCATAGTTTCCCCATGCTGGCTGAGGAATTCTGGGAGTTGAAGTCCACCAGTCATAAAAGAGCCACGGTTGCCTACCCCTGGTCTAGGAGGCTCACTGCTTAGAGCAGGAGGAGCTAGGCCAGGGGTAGGCAACCTAGGCTCTTTTATGACTGGTGGACTTCAACTCCCAGAATTCCTGAGCCAGCCATGCTGAGGGGAAAGGGAGAGGTTTCCAAGCTGAGCCATGCTGGCTCAGGAATTCTGGGAGTTGAAGTCCACCAGTCATAAAAGAGCCGAGGTTGCCTACCCCTGCTCTAAACTAATAAAGTCTACATTAATTAACATTAATTATGCTTTCATATGTTCCTCTAACTGAGGGGTCTTCAAACTTGGCTCTTTTATGACTCGTGGACTTCAACTCCCAGAATTCCTGAGCCAGCCATGCTGAGGGGAAAGGGAGAATTTTCCAAGCTGAGCCATGCTGGCTCAGGAATTCTGGGAGTTGAAGTCCACGAGTCATGAAGGGGCCAAGGCTGCCTGCCCCTGGCCTAGGGTCTCCTGCCTGAGCAGGGGGTTGGACTAGAAGACCTCCAAGGTCCCTTCCAACTCTGTTATTCTGTTATTCTGACAGCTGCTCGTTTATCAAAATGGGCCATGTCAGTTTGTCTCGGTTGCACGTCCCTTTTCGGTGGTGTGTACGGCAGGGCCTGTTTGTAGGAGTGACAGCGGTTGGGAAGGAGACGACGGCGGAGCAGTCAGCAGAACCAGAAAATAGAAGCACTACGCTGATTAAAGAAACGACACCCACTGAGGTGATTTTTTTTTTTTTAAATTGCACTTGTTCGTAGTTAGGCGGAAAAGCCAAGTCTGGGCGCTCCTTACACGAAGAATCTGGAGGAGAGGAAGATGCGGAGAAAAAGAAAAAAGGGGCGTTTTTCTCCTGGTCGAGAAGCAAGAGTTTGGGGAGGTCACAGAAGAAGAAGGAGAACGGCAGTTGTCTCAAAGGTGAGTTTTAAAATCCAAAGGTGAGGCCCTGTGGGACGGGGGGAGGAGAGAGATGGATGGATGGAAGGATGGATTCTGAGGAAGGAAGGAAGGAAGGAAGGAAGGAAAGAAGGAAGGAGGAAGGAAGGAAAGAAAGAAAGGAAAGAAGGAAGGAAAGAAGGAAGGAGGAAGGAAGGAAGGAAGAAGGAAGGA